CCCCCCCCCCCCGGGAGCGCTGTCCTTCCCTCGTCAAGCCAAGCATGTTGTGCTCGATGACTTGCTCACCGTGTGCGGCTCCGAGTAGGCCCATCCATGGCGGAGGTTCCGAGCCGGGGGTGCTCTTCGGGCGCCACCACCGAGCACGATCTCGGCCCAAGCCCGCGGCTTCTCCCCGGCCGCCAGCCGCGGTCCGCGGATCTGCCAGCCACGCCTCCCCTCCCCGCCATGAGACACCCTCAAGGGGACTTGCTCCATGTGCTTCGGGAGGATCCCTCCCCGCGCCTTCCCCTCTCGATCCCCTCGCTTCATCCATCGTCATCATCTCTCCCCTCTCTCGATCTCGCCATGGGCCCTCCCAATTCCTTGCAAGACCTTGGCGGTGACATTGCAGCAGCAGCCCGGAGCCTGGCCGACGCGGCGGAAGCCGGCCTCATACCCCCTGACCAGGAACTGCTCCCTCATCTTGCGCGTCTGGCCGGCAAGCCGGCGGCCGAGAGGAACCTGTCCCGCGCGCTGGCCGCCCTGGGGCACCGATGTATGTCGAGGGGGTGGCCCTTCCCCTTCGCCCATCCCCTGGCACAGCCACCGACACTGGCCTTGCCGCCCCTCGGCTCTCGGCCGGCCGACAGACACTGATACTGACCAAGGACGCGACTCGTGCTCCACACAGCCCAGGAGGCCGACCAAGAGGTCAACAGGGCGGTGCTCGAACATGCCCGAGGCCTCGTCCTGTCGGATGACGCCGACGTCGCGGCCCCCGCGATGCGGGCACTGGCTGGGCTTTCCCTCAACGGTGCGCTCCTGATCCGGGTCGGCGTGTTCGCGAAAATGCATGCATGCATATGTATGCGCATGCGCGAGCATGCGCCCGCACGAATGTGCACATCCGCCCTCGGTGCCCCACGCACGCAGCCTAGCATGTCAGTGATCGGCGCAAACAGGCTCATCCTCCCAACCGGGCGAGCGCTGCCCCCCCCCCCCCCTCTCTCCCCTTCCCACCAGGGCGCAATCCATGATGCTGACCCCCGGGCCCACCTTGCCAGTGCGCTCCAATCCGCTGCCCTTCAATATGGGCATCCTGAGAAGCATGCAAACGCTGGCCCAGCGATCGCAGTCCGCCAAGCATCTCAGCAGCCCGGTGGCCTTTGCCCTGGCGCATCTTGCCCAGGATGGTGCGCCGACTCCAGACATCTACACGGCCCCGCTCCCGGGCATGCCCCTCACTTTTGTGGAATCCCCCCCGCCCCCTCGGTCCCGGATCCACAGAGCTCTTCTGCCTTGGCTTCTGGCAGGGCATGCTTGAATGTGCCGAGGCCGTCGTCCGATGGGGCGATCTCCAGCCCGGTGACTGTGCATGGCTTGCTCTCGGCCTGTCGGCCGTGGCATCGGGCGGTGCGTTTCCGCCGCGCGCACAAGGCCCCACTCGCTCCCCTCCGCGCACAAGACCCCCCCCCCCCCCCCCCCCCCCCCACTCCACCCTGGCCAATGGAACATACAGGCGGGCTCGGCTTGGGTGAGGAAATTGCTGGCCAGGCCCCCCCCCCCCCCCCCCCCCCCCCGCCTGGACTATACTCACAGCCCGAGAGCAGGCCCGCCCCGCAACCAAGATCCCATGGACTTCGTGTGGGACCTGCTTGTCATCCTCTCTGCGGTGCTCGACGCCAGCCCGCAGCGGGGCCCGGGCCTCGACATGGTCGAGGTCGCGCGCCACACCGGCCGCGCCCTGCGCCACCTGGTGTCCCTCGCCGGTGCGTGTTTCCCCCGCGGCCCTGGGCCCGGGCTTGCTTTCCTTTTCTTCCTCCACCCTGCCAGGCGCCCCTTCCTCGCTCATGCGGCTTCCGCTCCTCCCTCTCCCGCTCGCCCGCTCTGCCAGCCGACCAGCGCCCTCCAAACCTCAATGGGGCGCTGCTTCGTGCAATCCTTCGAGTCAAGGGTCTCGCCCCGGGCGACTTGGAGCTGCAGGAATCCGTGGCATTCGTTCTTGGCAACTTGTCCGGCTCCGGTGCGTGCCTGCGTGCCCATGCATCCATGGGCCCGATCGGTCGATGCCCTCTGCCCTCCCCTGCGTCCCGACGTCCATGCAGCCGTGCATCTGTGCATCCTTTTGCATGGGCACATCGCCGCGCCCACGCTCACGCCTGTGCGCGCCTGCTGGCGTGCCGCACATGCGCCCGTCCACACGGCGCCGCATGCTTTGCCCCTTCGCCCCTCTCGATCCCCTCCGCATCAGTTGCCTAGCGCGCCGCTCACCCTCCTCCACCCTCCACTCATACTCTCTCCCTCTTCCGCTCTCTCACTCGCGAGCACACACACACACACACGCACACACATACATACACAAACACACACACACACACGAGCTCAGCACTGCCCAACAGCCGCCAGGTGCGCGGCATGTTGCTTCAGTCCTCCCTGGACCTCGGCCGACGCATGGCCGGGGTGCCCTCCATCGAGGTCCAGGTCCTTCGATGTGCTGTCGGCCTGGCGCGAAGCTGTTCGTTCTGCCCTGCCTTCCCGCCGCCATCGCTTGGCCTTACTCACACATCCCCATTGTCCTCTCCGCCATTCGGCGGGTGCTTGTGTGCATGCGCGTGGCCTGCGCGCAGCGCGTCAAAATAGCCCCCGGGTCAATTGGATCCTCCTGCGGCAAATGCTGGCCGCGGCCCGGCACCACGCCGACAGTGAGCAAGTGCCCAGCCTCATCCTGTTCGGCCTTGGCCAGTTGGCTTGGAATGGTGTGACCGCCGGACACTCCCCCCCCCCTTGGACCCTCGGTCTGTTGAAGTCTGACCACTCCCCCGTTGCCCACCCCGCCTCCACCCGCGGCCCGCTCTAGCGCGAGGCAACAGCGCGCGTATGAACCGCATGATCGTGCAGCTGCTCTTGCGACTCGCACACCGGCCCCCCGCCGGAGAGCACTTGCACCGGCTTCGGACAACCGTCTTCGCGCATTTGACCCTCAGCTGTGCGTGCCATGCCCTCTCCGCCCAACTTCGCCCCCCTCCGGATCCCCGGGTCGCCGCTCGCCCGACCGCGCGCTGTCACCCCCCCCCCCCTCTCTCTCTCTCTCTCCCCCTCACACACAGACACACGCTTACGGACGCACACCCACCGTGCTAGACCTCGCCAACCGACGGTCCCTCAATGCCATGCTCTTGCGGCAGCTTTCCCTGGCAATCGCCCGTGCACCGGATGACGTCCAAGTCCAGCAGCGCGCCATCACAGGCTTGGCCAATCTCTGCGGCGCCGGTGCGTTGCTCCTCCTCTCCACCGTTTGGCCCGGGCGGCCTTGCATGTGTTCCTTTTCCCCGCGCCCCCACCCCGCCCCCGGGCACCGTCGCTAATCCCCCCCCCCCCCCCCCCCTGCGGAAATGCATCCCCCAAGCCACGCGGAATTGCCCTCGCAGCAATATGGCCCTCCTCCAGGCTCTCAGCCTGCAGCAGGCCCACCACAGCCCGCACTTCCACTCGCGCCGGGCCTTCGGACTGATGCTGCTCGCTGACAACGGTGCGACTTGCCTCCTGCTCGGTCCTGCGCGGCCGCCCTGCCCCTGGTGCCTTCGCTCACCCCGACTCCGCTCTCGCCTGCAGCAGCAGCCAACTCCCGGCGACTGAATGGGCTGCTGGCCCAGCACCTGGTGGCCTTGGCCACTGGACCCACCATCACCGCCGAGGCCCTGGGATATGTCTTGCGCGGCATGGCGTGCCTGGCCTACAATGGTGCGTCTGCCTCCTCGCCCTGCACCATTCACTGGGCTGCCCCTGCCCGTGCGAGGTGTCTTGCTGACACCTGCCCCCATGGCCTCCACCCCGCCCCGGGGCTCCATCCCGATCGTTGCCCTTCAGCCGGAAGCAACCCCCCGGCTCTCAACGGCCAGCTTGCACAGGCTCTGAACTCCATGATGGGCTTCTTCTCCGCGGACGCCGCAGCGCAGGCCGAACTGGCCGGCGCGCTGGATGCTCTGGCGGCCCCCTGATCGCTCCCGCGAAAGCGCGTCCGATTGATCGCACGCCCCCGCTACCCTGTCCGTGGAGGCCCCCTCCCCCGGCTCTTTCCGCGGCATATGGCCGCCCCAAGCCCCGGGTGTCTGTCCCAGCGCGGGCTGGAGGTCCTCAACAGCCGGCAAACAAAAAAAAAGACACTCCAGCACCATAGTCCCCCCATCCCCGCTCTTCGCTTGTGCTCCCTCGCCGATCCCCCTCCACAAAGGCCTGGCAAGTGCCGCGCAAGGTGGCCGCCAGCCAGCAGCAGCCCGGGCCCCGGCGCTCAGCAGATGACCCTGACGGCCCTCCGTGCGGCCGCATGCGGCCCATGATGTGGGGTCCGTCCCGGCCCGGAGAAGGCAGCACCTCGGCACCGGGCTGTCCTTTTCATGCATTCGGCGGGCCCACGCGCGCGTGCGCGCCCCTGCGTGTCCTTGCGAAATGACCGAAACGGCCTGTGCGCCAGCCCGTGGGACTCTGTCTCCACGATAATACAACCTTCAGGTGTGGACTTGCTCGGCAGCCCAGCCTCTCTCTCTCTCTCCCTGTCTCTCTCGCCCTTGAGTGATGCTGCCGCTGGTGGGGAGAATGCCCGAATGCCACATCTCGCCCTCAGGGGCCCAAGGAGCATGCACGCGGATTCCCTTCTGGAAGCCGTACCGCTGGTAGTCTTCCTGCCCACTGGACGTGGCCCCGGAGCCGGGGCCCACGCGAGAGCGTCATCGAGCGCGCGCCCCCCACACCTTACCGACATCCCTCCTCTGCTTCAGAGGGTCCCCCATTTCGTCCACCGTGCTGGGACGATCAGCGAGCCACCGAAGCTCGGACCTTTTGCCACCTGCGTCCGAGGCTGCCCGGGATCCGTGTGCTTGTCAGGGCGGGATCGGCCAGGCATCTGTCTCTCTTCGGAGCCGGTGTCTTGCCCTGCCCCGTCCGGGCGCCGGGCACCTGCCGCACCGAGCCGCCCGAGATACCGCTCGAATGGGTGCCGATGGTCTTGCCTGTCGGCTTGCCCGGGAGTCTGCCCGAGCGGAAGGCGAAATCCCGAGGCGGCAGGGAGGGGCGCAAACCCGCCGAGCACCCCGCCGACAGCCACTCGGTAGCCGGCGCGAAAACGCCCCCGTCCCAGAAAGGCCTCGCAAGCAGTCCACCACGCTGCAGTTGTTCCCAGCGAATGCCCTACAAAGGAGGACACCCCTCCGCATCCTGGAGGGGGCAGTGCCCTCCAGGGACATGCCTCGACCATGCGTCACCTTTGGACACCTCCCCGGCACGAGACCCCCCCAGGCAATGTGCCGACCGGCCGATGTGTCTTCTTCCCCGGTCACCGAGCGCTCCCGGGCTCGCTCTTCTCTGTTGTTATTGAGCAGTCTGCTGCCGCCCCGCGCTCGGCCGACACTCGCCACGCATCCACTCCTTTCCCTTTCCTCCCGCCGTTGCCTTTTGGCTTTACCATGTACGGCTGCTGCTGTTGCTGCGTGCCATCCGCGACACGGGCGCGTTGCCGCTCGACGAACACCCTTACCCGCCCGACGCCCTGCAAAAAAGCCCGGCCACCATGGCACTGCCACCCCGATGCATTCATACTTGCCTGGCATCCCCCCCCCCCTCCCTGGGCGATGGATCGCCGTATGGCGGAGCCCCTTTCCCCTGCCTGGGACCAGTCGCGCCCCAGGGCAGGACGACTCGGCTACATAGAGCCCCCCCCCCCCCCCCGCCCGACAGTCCCCAAGCCCTCGGCTCCCGACATCAGATCCCGGACGCCGAGACCGATCGCCGCGGTCTCCATGGCATCTCATCCTCTTCGGCTCGCCCCGGGCAAACACATACTCAGCTCTCCGGAGGAGCAGTGGCGCAGGTGCCCGAGGCAAAGGGCACCAGATGCGACGAAAACGAGGGCCTGCAAGACCTGCGTGAAGCATGAGCAACGGGCGCCAATGACCTGAGGCAGCATGCCGTTCCTGGCCTCGTGGTGCCAAAGCACGCAAGTGACTCTCGCCCGGGGAAAGATCCCCTTCCGGGTCGGAGCGCGCCTCGGAGTGTCGGCAAACAGCGATGCCCTCCCCCATCCTCGGGCCCAGGGCGACTGGAGGGGGACGGGGGAGGTCCAGAACACATACCCCATTCATCTGCGGCCGTGGCAAAAATTGCGACGGGCATGCGCGTCATCGGGCCAGGGGCCCGGACGCACTCTTGTGTCCTGGAGCGTAGCCCCCGGAGGCTGCTCCATGGGGCGGCGGTCAATGGCACGCGATCGATGCGATCCCCCATTTGTATCACAGCCCCATTACCGGTGGAGGCGCCTGCTGCACGCATCGGCAGCCGCCGGGACCCGACACCCACGGCAGCCGAGCCCACGGTCACCGGGTCGCCGCTGGATAGGTCGCCCTCGGGGCCCGGTGGTACCGCCGCCGCCTGGGGATCCTCCCCCAGCTCGACTCCCTGCGCAGGAGGCCTGCCCTGTGTATGAGCCTACCTCCGGGGCTCCGGCGCCCGAGTGGCAGATTCGACGTCCTTCCCGGCGGGGCCGCGCACCGGGCTCAAGGCTGCCCCAGTCCCCGGCGCCGACCACGCTGGCATTGGTCCCCGCCCCCGGCCGGGGGTTTCTGCTACCGGTACAACTCCTCCCTCGGCCAAGCTCGGCCGCAGGAGAAGCCTCCAGGCGGGACCCACCCATGTGCGCCGGATCCGACAGGACACCCGCCACACCGGGCCCCCCACAAAAGGACACCCTCCTGCGAGTCCCGTCGCGCCTGTTCGCATCCCCGGTCATCCATGAACACCGAATCCCCTCCATGCCATCCAATGCCTCGGCTCCACATGCCTCACCGGTCTGTTCCGGGCGCGATACCGGAAAAACTGCCGGCCACACACGTTCGGCCGTTGGGCATGCTTGCGAATGACGACCCATCGGAATCTCGACAATACGGCTGCCAGCCGACGCCACATCAAGCACAAGTGCCCCAGCCTCGGACGGAACCTCAGGCAGGTCGCATGGGCCGGCCCCATATCCTGCCCGCGGCCGGGTCCGTGCCCGGGGCCAGGCCGCTGGCCGCGCTCACAGCGGAGACCCGGGCTGCGGCACCCATCCGAGAGCCGGTTGAGCCCCTCGCCAAAGACCCCCGACCTGTGCTCCAGACCGAAGCCGCCGCCGCGAGCATCCTCCCGCGAATGTCACCGGCAGTCCTCCCCTCCAAGGCACATGCCGAGCCACGAGCCGGCGTGCCACAACGCCGGAGAGGCGGAAAAGCGAGGCCCATTGCCTTGGCGAGCTCTCTTTGCGGGCGTCATCCAGCCCCCTCGACTCGGGCGACCGCTTGGTATGCTCACCGATGTCCCCCAACACGAGCCCCCAGCCGAGTGCACTACACCCGGGGGTCCCCGCCGTCCTCCCGTAAAGAGGCCACTGGTCACACCGAGGCTGGCAGTGTGACCGAAGCCGGCCCTAAGGAGCACGCTCGCCATGGGCACGTCCGCCCCATCCGCCGGGGCCAGCATGGCCGGGCGGAGACAATGCGAGAACGCCGCCCCTGGTGTGGTACCCGAGCAGTGGGCTTCGTGAAGCACAAAGTCGGCCGGGCTGCTCGCCGAGTCCGGGGGCGCGGCATTCGCTCTCAAAGATCGGCTGAGCGCGCACCCCTGCCTAGCCACCTGGCGTCAGGGGGCCGGCCGTCCGGCAGGAGAGCCATCTGCACCGGCCCTGGACCTTTGCGGCACGGGGTAAAAAAAACCCCCCAAGGCCCGAATCTCGATGCTCAATACTTGGCCCCTGGCGAGGCAGCTGGCCCCGAAGAGCGGTCCCTCCTCCCCATCGAGCGCCATCCAAGAGCCCCTGCGTGCGATGGCTCTCCCGCTACCAGGCGTGCCGTCGCTACTGCCTCTGGCCCTGACGGGCGGGGACTCCCGATGCCTGGCATAGGCAGCCGAAGCTCCGAGCCCGGGGGCAAAAAAAGGCATTCCCTCATGCACGCGTGAGAGGCACGCCTCATCGTCGACATCGGCGCCTGCATACGACCGGGCCGAGTTGCCAGGGGACAGCTCGACCGGGCCTCTGCCATGCCTGTACAGCGGAAGCCACACCAGGAAGCGGGCGGCACTCCCCATGCCCCAGTGGCAGCAACCTCCCCCCCCCCCCCCTGGCTTCTGGCACCGAGAAGGCCATACCCCGGGAACCTCGGGCCGCCTCAGGAGGGTCTCGAGAGTGAAAAAAAAAGAAGGCCCAATGAGCATGTGCACCATGCGAAGCAGCATCAGCATCCCCCCCCCGCCGCCGTCAGAGGACGGCCAACCGGACAATGTCACCCTCCCGTCCCCGGCCAGAGTGTCCCTTCCTGCCTGCCCGACAGGAGCCCCTTAGCCCATTGAAAAGGGCAGGGCGAGGCCCGAACAAAACCCCTTCACAACAAGTCCCCCGCCTGCACCCCCGCTTGCTGCGCCTGCCATCACGAACATGCGCGAGACCCTGCTTGCGCGTGACCGCCACCCCCGGAGCAGACCGCCGCCCCCCCGCCCTCGCCCCCCGCGCCTGTTCGAACAAAAAAAAAAAACAAACCCGAAGAGCCGCGCAACTATATTCCGGTGCACGAGCAGGATCGCCCTGGCTCACGCCAGGCCACCGGCTGCAACAAGCAGGCCGGCACAGCGCTGGCGGAAGAGGGCAGCCACCGGGCGCCGATGGGGGTCCCCCTGCCAGGCAGCCTGAACCAGGTCCGCGGCTGCCACGGGGAGGCCGTCCACGCTTGGCCGGTCGCCGGCCTGCACGGCGGCCATGATATCCTCCAAAGCCAGCCCCTGCCAGGGGCTCGCGCGCGTCAGGCACCCATGCAGCATGATCCCCGCGCTAAAGACATCGGCCGGGAAAAAGAGCCCCAAATCCAAGGGGACCCTGCCTTGGAAGGCCTGCAGCACTTCCGGCGCGGCATACCGCACAGTCATGGCATTCAGCTCGGGCATGGTGTTCAGCAGGGCCGACAGCCGGTTGGCATGCAAGTTCCGGGATGTGCCCAAGTCGCCGAGGGCCACGCGCCAGCCCCCGGCCGGCGTCGCACTGACAAACACATTGGCCGGCTTCAAGTCGCAGTGGGCCACCCCGTGCGCGTGCATGGCCTCCAGCCCGGCGGCCCATTGGTGGCAGATGTCGGCCACCGCCAGCGCCGACAGCTGGATCTCCGAGCAGAGCAGCAGCGAAAGGTCCGAGTCGAAGCGCTCCATGACCACGGCCGCCGGGGCCTCGCTGTACCCGAAAAGCCGCACGACGCCCGGGCAGTCACGCAGCAGCCACATCAGAGCGACCTCATTCTGGAAGAGGGAATGGCGAACTGGCTCCATGGATTCGACCGCCATGCGCTTGATGGCAACCACCTCCGGGCAGCCCAGCCGAGCGAGGGTCCCGGCCCCGACCGCCTGCGCGGCAAACACCGACGCCTGGGCCCCCATGCCAAGGTGCCCTTCATCGACCGGCCGGAAGTCCATCTCCACATCGACCAGGATGGCCCCGGGCAGGGCCAGCTCCACGATGGTGTTCATCATGGTGGCATCTTCATCGTCGGTGGCCTTGCCCGGGGCCGGGGTCCTCTCCCGCCGCTGGACAAGGCAAACCACCAGCAAGATCAACAGGAGCAGCAGGAGCAGCAGGCCCACGGCCAGGCCGACGGCCAGGCCCACCTGCGAGGCCTTCGGCCTGACCGAGTCCACGCACCCCTCGACCCCGGGGCCGAGGCAGGAAGCCGCGCAGCTCGCGTGGCAGGGCATGCAGCCGGCCGACGGGCCCTCCTCATCCACATGGTACCCATTCGGGCAGGTCTCCACGCAGGCCGTCCGGCCCAGGAGATATCGGCCGGAGGCGCAACGATCGCAAGTGCCGATGTCCGGGCAATCGAGGATGCCGCCATCGGTGACCGTGCATCCGGGCTGGTCGCCGGCCGGCGTGCACCGCTCGCATCCGGCAAGGCAGCTCAGGCACACGCCGCCCACCGGGGCCTCGGCCCCGGAGCACGTCGTCACACAGGCCCCCTCGACCGGCCGCAGGACAAGCCCCTCGGGACAGCGCGTGCAGAAATCCCCCAAATTGAGGCAGCTCGCGCAGGCACTGTCACAGGGCTGGCAGGCGCTCGCCCCCGGCGGGGCGAACTCCCCGGCCGGGCACTCCCGCACACATGCGCCCGAGGAGAGGACGAAGCCCGCCTCGCAGGCCGTGCACACCCCGGCGCAGGCCGCCCCGGCCGAGGCGCATCCCGTGCAGCGGCTCGGACAGGCCCGACACTCGCCGAAAGCCGCGCACCCATGCCAGCCTGCCGGACACACCGACACGCAAGTCCCCCCCGGCATGAGCATGTCCTGCCCCCGGCAAGTGGCACAAGTCCCGGCCTCGATGCAAGTGCCGCAGGAAGCCTCGCACTCGACACAGACATTGTCCTCGGCAAAGAAGCCCCCCGGGCAGGCGGTCAGGCAGGATCCCTGGTAAAGCGCCCGGGCCCCGGAGCAGCCGACGCACTGGTCGACCCCGGCTCCGGTGCACTGGCCACAAGTGGAGTGGCACGGCAGACAGGCTTCCCCATGTTGGAAGGTGCCCGCCGGGCAGGCCCCATGGCACTGGCTGCCCACCAGGAAGGGGGCCAGCGGATCGCAAGTCAGGCAGTGGTCCGGCCCCGGGCCATAGCAAGTGGCACACACGGCATGGCAGGTGGAGCACAAGTTCCCCAGCTCCGTGGTGCCGCTCGGGCAGGAGGCCACACATCCCGGACTGTCCAGCAGCCAGCCCCGCTCGCAGAGCGCGCAGCTCGCAGTGGCCCCCGGGCAGCTGACGCAGTGGGCACTGCACGAGGCACACCCGGCGGCCGTGGTGCTGTACCCCGCCGGGCAGGCCGGCATACAACGCATCGGCGACTGGCCGGCCGGCAGGGCCAGCAAGTCCCCGGTGCAGGTGCCGCACTCGGTGCTCCGGACGCCGGTGCACTCGCCACACGACGGGTGGCAGGGCAGGCACCGGCCGGCGGCGGCAGTGTGCCCGGTGGCGCAGTCCTGCACACACTCGCCGTCCTGCAGCACGCCGCCCTGGCATCGCCAGCAGTCGCGGTTGGTCGGGCCATTGCATGCGGCGCATGCCGCATCGCACGGCAGGCAAGCCCCGCCACCAGCGTGGTACTGGCCCTCCGGGCAGCCGGAAGCACAGGCCCCCACCCCGGGGCCAGTCTCGAGGAGGTCGAACCCGGCGGCGCAGCCATCACACTGGTCCGCCTGGCCGCCGACACACGTCGCACAGGACACATCGCACGGCTGGCAGGACTCGCCATTGGGCCAGAACCCGGCCGGGCAGTCGGCCACGCACCGGCCATCCGCCTGCAGGAACCGCAGCGGTTCACAGGCAAAGCAGGCATCCTCCGTGCACAGGGCACACCCCACGTCGCAGGGGACACAGGCCCCGGTGCCGCCCGGGGGCGGCCGGGCCAGCCACCGGAAGCCCTCGGCACATGCCTCGCACTCCATGGCCCCTCCGGTGCACAGGTCACAGCTCGGGTCACACTCGGCACATCGCTCGGGCCCGACATACATGCCCGGCGGGCAGGAGGAGGTGCACAGCGACGGCACCGCGGCATCGGCCCCCATGAAGACCAACCCCGGCCGGCACACCGTACAGCTCATGGCATCCACACACTCGGCACATGCCCCGTCACACTGGCCGCATGATCCATCCCCAGCCAGGAACCGCTGGCCAAGACAGCTGGTACATGTGTCCCCGGAGGTGCACATGCCACAGCCAGCCGGACAGGGCTCGCACGTATGAGTGTCCGCCTTTGGCCACATGCCGTCCGGGCAGACCCCGACACATGCCCCATCAAGAAGCCAACTGCCACTCGGGCAGGCGGTGCAGGACTCCCCACCGGGCCCATCACACTCGGCACATCGCGCATCACACGGAGCACACTGGACCCCATGGTGCCCGGGCGGACAGGTCATCTTCAATGGCAGGACCATCGGCCCGCCGTAGCGCGAGAAGGTCACCAAATTCTGTGCGCCTGCCGACAGGGCGGCAGCTTGCACCGGGTCGCCCAAGTCACCCGGCAGGGACACCATGGCCGGCAACCACAGCGGCTCATCGTCCGGAAGCTGGTTGGCCAGTGGGATCGACACGAACATGGCCGGCTGCAGGGTACACGGCCCGGTGGCCCCGCCGGGGCAGTACATCAGCGAGATGCCCACAAAGGTACGCGCCTGCACGAGCAGCGCACTCGGGAAGGCCGGGTTCACGGCCGGCAGCTCCACCCCCTGGAAGAGGACATCCGGTGCCCGGTGGCCCGGCGAGGCCAAGGCCCGGGGGAACGTTCCAAGGACTTGCTCTCTGGAGAGTAGCCCATTGGACCGGCCACCCGGCAGCATGTCCCGCGGGGTCCGGACAGCCAGCCACTCGGTGCCGGAGCCCCGGACGAAGACCAGCTCCGCCGGAGCCGCCGCACCCCGAGGCAGGAGCACCGGCACGAAGGACCCCTCGGCGGCCGACAGCCCAGACACAAAGAGCCCCGACAGCGGCATGGCGCGCGGGTCCGAGCCCACCATCGCCACCGGGAGGGCCGTCACCCCGGGAGTCGAATCACTCCACACAATCCAGTCACCGGGGGAAGTGTGGGCCCGGCCACCGGCCGCCGGACCAACCGACAGGCTCACCACAGCGCCGCCCACGAGCAGGGACTCCTTCAACCCCTGGGAAAGAGGATCAAACCAAAGGATGTTCAGCTGGGTGAGGTAGCTCCGAAACAGGATACTCTCCGGCGACAGGCGGTGGATCGCATGGCAACTGGGGGAAGGGTGCAATTGGACAAATTGCTCGGTCGGCATGCATGGCGCCGGGCCCGAGCATTGCAAGGTCAGCATTGGCCCCTGCCCATCTGACCGGCAGAAAGCCAGCAAATACCGGACCCGCCCCGCATAGAGGAAGGGCCCAAGTTCGGCAAAGTCGATGGTGTAACCGGACGGCGATACTCCCGACAGGGGAATCTCCCGCAGGGCCGACTCAACCGGCCGGTCAATGTCACCGGCCGACATGATGTAGCTCTTGTCCTGCTCGGTAAAGATGAGCACCCGCGGGCCGGGGCCGGGGGCCGCGGCCGCCGGGACGACCATCTGCCCGGTGTCCGGGTCTACCGCCAGCCATGTGTGGCCCATGGCGGTAATCCGATCACCGGGATCCAGTCCAGGAATCTGATACGGGGCGGGAGGGGACAGCTGGAAAACCGGCAACGCCTGGCCGCCCGGCTGGCAAGTCCCACCCACCGGAAGGAACCCCTCCGAGCAGGAAGACACACACAAAGTCTCGCCATTGCCCGGTTGCAGCAGGTAGCTGCCCGAACAGAGGAGGCAGTGCTGGCCCTCGCAAATGTTACAATGCTCCTGCGGGCAGGGGAGACACTTGTGGCCCGGCTGCGTGAAGGGCGCCTCGCCTGTCATTGGGGGGGAAACACGCAGAAAAATACCATGTCAGCGGGCCGAGACGGCCGCCAGAGGCACCCAAGCAGCAGATGGAGAGTGACCGGTGGCACACGCACCGGCCGGCCGGTCCAGGTACCAGCCATCTTGGCACCCGGCGCACAGATGCCCCGGCGTGACGAAGGGCGACTGGACATGACCAATGCCACATGTCCACCCGGCCGACGAGAGGGACGGCGAGCCCGGGCCATCGCACAGGATGGTGCGGTCCTCCTCGCACCGGAAGGCCGCCGAGTCAAAAAGGGCCCTCTTTCCAGACACCAGGGTCCAGGAGCCGGGGGTGATGGCGTCCGTGCGCAGGCGAATCAGCTGCAAGTCCTCCAGGCCGACCACCGCCGACGGCAGGACCACCCGGCGCCAGGAGAAGATGCCCTGATGGAGGGACCCCTGCCAGAGCCGGTCCAGCGGATTGGACACATTCGGCAGCACCACATAGAAGGGCGCCACCTCGTTCAAAATGGCATTGGCCGGAGCAGCCAGGAACCGGGCCCCGGACCGGTTGAGCCCGGCCGGCAAGTGGGTGTCCACCGGGTCGCCCACTTGCCCGATCCCGAAACAGGGCACCACATAGATCGATCCGGTGTCCAGAAGGGCCACCACATCGGACGCCTGGGCGCAGGTGCTGTCCGTCGACAGGGTCCGCGTGACGGTCATGGCCAGGATGTTGGCCGGCAGGTCGAGCCAGGTTTGATAAACATTCACCGACGCCACCGTGGCCGCAAAGGTGACCCGCCGCCCGGACCCCATGAAGAAGGAGGCCCCGGTCCCTGGCATCGCCAGCACCGGACCCTCAAACTGGATGTCGAGGCCATTGATTTTGACAAGCCCGGTGCCGGTGAGCCGGGCCAGGTATGTCGAGCGCGACAGGGCAGGGTCCCCGGTCAGCCCCAGGAGCAACGCCTCATCCTGGGAGGTGGCCACGCCGGCCAGAATTTCCGTTTCCGAAGCCGGAAGGGGGTACTTCGACGGCGAGGTGAAGAACCGCACCATGGACCGGGTGTGGTCCACTATCAGGGGAGCCATACGGGCCGCCAGGGGCAGGAACAGCGGCGGGAAGGGGCTCACATTCGCCGGGTCCGGATTGGAAAACCCGGGCCCCACCCTCCCGAAGAAGGTGCCCCAGCGGACTTCGGCCTGGTGCTCGAAGGAGGTGTACTGCAGGAAACATTGAATGAGGGTGGGGCTCGAGCGGATGATGGCGGTCGAGTGGCCTCGGGGGTCGGTAGAGAAGGCCACCGGGCTGTCGGCCAGCGTGAGGGGATACGGAGCCACATGGAGGAAGATGTCCTGCCCCTGGGAGAGGGTGATCAAGAGTACCGACACGAGCAGCGCCAGGACCAGCAGGAAAGATGACCCTGCCATGGGAGCCAGGCGAGCCTGGCCGCCCCGCGCGACGGCACCCGGCACCATCAGGCCTTCGGCACCCGGGACCGTGGTACACACCGGCCAGGGAGGAACCGCCGCCAGGGTCCAAGCCAAGGAGGAGCCGGGAAACGGGAGGGGGGGGGGGGGAGAGACAAGGCAGGTCGAGAGAGGCAGGCGAGGGGAGCGGCGAAGATGGAGGGAAGGGCAGAAAGGCAAGAGAGGAACGAGGGTGTCCGGGCACCGGAAGGTGGCTCTCGGCCCGATGGGCCCGCGGGCTTTTGGACCCCTTTTCAAGTTACTGTGGCATTGACGGGGTGTTG